AGGAGGAAAAAAGAAGGTGAGTGCGATGTTAACGATGTTGCCAGCCAGGAGTTAGTAGGTCAAGAAGCTTTTGTTCAGCCCGTGCTGGCGGTGTGCTCAGTGCCGTACGAAACGAGAGGAAAGAAGCTGTCCTGGTCCCACGGGTTGGCAATTGAAGCGGGACCAGACAGTTCGGCCCTGCGCCAGCGGCTGTCTGGGTGCCCGGGTTACGGCTTCGGGAACGCTCGGTTCGAAGGGACGAGGTCTGATGGCGAAGGGCTACTGGGGGCGAAGGGAGAGGAGGAGAGGTCAGGGAGGGTGGGAATAGGGGCAGATGGGTCAGGATCAGGCCCTCGGGGCTGTTCCCGTCGTTCCTTGCCAGCACCCACATCCCGAGGGCTCGGATGGAGGAGCTCAGGGGAGCTGGGGCAGTGGTGGTTTGAAAGCAGCCGTGTCCCGGGACAGCACGGGAGCCATTCCCAGGGCCTTTGCTCTTGGCTACAAGATTTAGGGGCAGATTTAGCAGCCCCTCTCCATGGAGCCCACTGCAGCTCTGGTTCGTTTGAAGAACCTCTAAGGAGCCGGTGGGAATTTCTCTCCTGGACAGACAAGGTGGAGCCGATGCCTCTTGAAACCTTTCCTGTCTCCTGGCATCCGAAGGACTTGCAAACACAGCTGTGTTTGGGAAGCAAAAACATTCCACGTCTTGATGTTGTCTTGATTTTGATTGAAGCTAGGGAAGGGCTCAGGCTGGGCTATTTTGTCCTTTGTTTTCAAAGTTTTTGGAAAAAAAAAAAAAGGCACTGGCTGTTTTTCATCCAAATACCACTGCAGGGAGAGGGGGCGGGGAGGGAGGAGCAGCATGGCTTATTGCACGTAAAAATGCTGACAATGTCAGGGAGCCATCCTGGGAAAAATATCTCTTTCTTAAAAGGAGAAAGAGGGAAAAACAGTGAGCTTTAAGGGGTTTTTGTTGTTAAGTAAAACAGGAAGGTCTTCTGCAGCTTCTTACAATGCAAATTCATCCCTACTCACTGTGGAGCAGGTTTGCATCACTCTTACTTTCTGGAAGGCAAGTTTGAGGCTGACACAGTTCATTACTTGGAGTTTCCATGCAGACCAGCATCCCTGGGCCAGTCCTCCGTCCCCAGGGACACCCAGGCTCTGTGAAATGGTGCTCCCTTTCCTGCAGCTTGGAAACACGCTGGGGTTGGCAGCTGCCCTGCAGGGCTGGTGCTCGTCCCCACAGCAGCAGTGTCCTCGCAGTGCCCGTGTCCTTCTGGGCACTGCTGCAAACACGAGGCTGCCTGAGAGCTCGGTGCCCCCGAGGTATGGCGGGGGGAGAGGGCTTGGAGGAGCCCCCATCGCTCTTCTTGGCTTTGCACCCTGACCTAGCGCTTTGCGAGCTGTAACAACACGTTGCTTGGGGCCATGAAAAGTTTTGTCCGCTCTCTCGAGGCAGCTGATGCATTTGGTTTGAGATGAAGCGTCCCGTGTTTGGATGCAACACCTGGTGCCCCCGTGGGAACCTGCACCCCCACTAACTGGCTCTCCCCCCTCCCAGGTGGATGTGACAGCCATGGCACGGCTCTTCGGCTACGTAGACGTGACCAGCTCTGGCTTCATTGCGGCCGTCCTCTCCATCGCCTTCAACCCGCTCTTCTGGAATGTGGTAAGAGCTGCCTGCGTGCTGGCTGCCCTGTTATTTTTAGCCTTCCTTTGCCAGCTACGTGGGGATCTCCTTTGGGCCGTGCTGGAGGAAAAACTGCTTTTGGGAAAGTCTGCTGGAGCAGGTGGGGTGAGCAGTACCCACTTATTAGGTGTTAGAAGTGCGTGAGCAGGGACCTGTGCTGCAGAGAGAACTCGTAGGGCTGGAAGTGGCCGTGACGGGTATCACAGAGGAGGTGAAGGTGGGAGCCAGTGTGGGATGCAGAAGGAATTAGGAACCGAGCTTGGGAGAGAGGGCAGAGCAATCAAACTCCTCCTTTAGCCACCTTCTGCCGCACCTCCCAGACCAGCAGCTGGGCACTGGTCACCACTGGGATTGAGCATAAATGGCATTAGCCCCTGGCGAGGGGCTGCACTGGGTACGTTGCCCGCTGCTTCTCCTTGAAATGCTTTGGCAGCTGGTTGTGTGGATGGCAGGAAGCAAAAACAGCCAGCCAAAAGTGAACCTGAAGAAATTCCCCCTCCATCGTGCTGCACAGTCGGGCAGGGAGCTGCAGAGCGGGCAGCAGACCAGCCCTGAGCAGGAGCAGGGTTACCTGTGCGCGGGTGATGCTCGCTGTCTCTGTGGGTGCCGTGGCGCTTTGGGAGCCCAGGCTGGAAGAATCTCAGCTGCCCTTTACCACTGCTGCCTCTCTGCAAGGGCAGCGAGAATCGTCGCCGGCCCCGTTTCGGAGCGTCGCAAAGCCAGTGTGCCGAGCGGGGAGCCAAGGCCGGCTGCAGCACGGCGTGACTCCCACCCCACAGCACCCTCGGCAGCACGGCTGAGGTGCGGGGTGAAACCTTCTCCCCGCGAGCGCTCGGAGGAACGGGATGTCATCTCAGCCCAAATTCCCCAAACCACCCGCCAAACCTCCCCGCGGAGATTCTCACCCTGGGGAAGGCTCCTTAAAAAGGCCTTTTTTTCTCCAGAGGGGGAGGGCTGGGCTCTCTCTGAGCGCGGGGGCTCTTGAGATTGTCTCATGCTGGGCTTTGGAAAAGCGAGGCTCTCCTGGCTGTGAGTCACTTTGGAAACCTCTGTCGGAGCTCTTTGTTGCAGCCTCCCTAATTTTTCATGCAACTCCTTATTAAAAAGTCTCACGGTGTCTGAAATGTGAACTAGAATATGCCACATTCTTTCGACTGCGGAGTCATCCTTTAGCATAAAGAATCAATGAACAAGAAGATTCGGTCTCGGAGGCGGGGGGAAGAGACCGGCTCCAGCGAGAAACAGCATAAAAGGAAAAGAAAAAAGTACTTTATTAGCGTCTGCTGCTACGCCTGCGACTCGTGGGACGCCTGCGGCTTGGGAAATAGCGTTGCTTTTTGGATCAAGAGTTTGGCTACTGTTAAAGGACAGGGAAAGCTGATGTAACAGCAGGAAGTTCATTGCTCTGCGTTGCCGTTGTCCCCTTCCAGCGTCTGCGGAGCATCGCAGGTGGCGGCAGGTGGCACTGCGAGCAAGACGTGCAGGGCCTGCGCCGCGAGCAGGAGGCATCTCTGCATGGTTTGCAGTGAGCAACCTGAGCTGGGGTGTTGGTGGAAAGCTCTAGGGAGGTGAGCGTGGCACTAGATGTTTCCCTGGCTGTAACGGGCCGGGTGGCTGTCGCAGCCCATGTGCCTCCATCCATACGCTTGCTCTGTCCATGTCCCTGGGCATCCCCCTCGTGTTTTCAGGATCTGCCAGTCCTGGCGTGTGGCTCATGCCAGGCACTGCTGGAAGACCCTTGCAAGTTGCTGTGCGACCTGCAACCCTCAGCAAGCCCCTGCTTTCGGGTGCATTTTAGCAGGAGTGGCCCCAGCCATCCCTGGATTTTCCCTAACCTGCTTCCTTTACCTCCTCCCCGTCCTTTTTTCCATGTGATCAGTGTCCCCTGCCTGCACCCAGCCAGCAGCTCTTCTTTCTTTCTCTATATCCCTGCACAGGCTCCCTTTGTCTTTTGCTCTTTGGGTTCCTTCCCAGCAGCTGAGATTGCTTCTGCATCTGAATTACTTTGGGCTTGCAAGAGCTTTAGTGCAAAGACTGGATTTCTGTGCAGCGCTGAGCACTCTCTGCTCTCTGTGCTTAATCAGTAATGCGGGACCCTGGTCAAAACCCCTCCTGTGCATGAAATTCCTGATTTGGGTAGAAATTGGGTGGGGATGGATTGGTTTAGTTCAGCATCTTAATTCCCCGTTTCTGCTGAACTCCGGCCAGGTCAGCCTCTTGCAAAGTTTGGCGCCGGGTTGTCCTCGCTGTGCAGCTCTTCTGAACAAATACGTGGTGGGAAACCCCGGCTCCGTGCGGTGCTCGGCCAACGGAGAGCCGCGTCTCGAGGCCTCCAGCGTAGGTACCAGCGTACCTCCTGGTAATCGCCAGGCATCTTTCTTTGGGGCAAAACCTGCAGGGTTTGGGGACGAAGTGTGAACTCTGGAGTTCTCTTTGTGAGTCCGGAGAAAACGCTGATGCTCGTCGGGTCGATTTATGTACTTCGGTTAAGAGAGCAATTTAGAGGAGCAGAGCCTAAGTGGGGCAATTTGCAGGATTCCAGCCGGGCTGTGCCGATGCTCCCTCCTGTTCTCCACAGGGGAGAAAAGCTCATCAAAAAAAGCCTCAGGACTCCCCTAATTCCCACCCTCCTCCCTGCAGGCATGTGCTGGCGAGGTACCATGAATGTCACCCCAGGGTTGCCGGCTGCATTTCCCCACCAAACCCAGGGCTCGCACCCCCTCTTCTGCTTCCCCCCTCTATGCCAATTGAAATCCTGCCCATCCCCAGGTGGCCCGCATGTTACATTATCCATGGCACAGGTTTCTGCACTATTATCTGTTTTTTTTCCTTTTTTTTTTTTTTCCCCGTCTCTCCTCCTCATGGTGTCTCTGCTTTCCCACCCACTGTGGCTGTTACGAAAGGAGCTGCTGGGAGCTGGGGTCCCATGTGAGGCAGGGTGCAGGCGAGTGAGTCCCTGAAAGGCAGCGGTGGAGCTGTTTTGGGGATGAAGTTGCTTAAAACTCCCCAAGGATGTTCAGCGCAGCCGGGAGACCTGAGCTGCTGTGGGGCTGTTGAGAGGCACCCGGCAAGGAGTAGGTGCATCGCTGGAGCCGTGCCATAAAACGTTAATGAGGTCAGAGCAGTAGAAACTTCAATAAATCCCATCTGTGTTTGGAAAGCCGCAGAACGATGGGAGAAACTTCCCATCCCTTGGTAACTAAGGAAAGTATTAAATAACAACTCCTCGGGGACAAACATTTGCAAGCCAGGAGAGGCAGATAACCTGCATACGGGAGGCTTTAGAGAGCTCGCTGAGCCTTGGCACACGGGGAGTTTCTAGAAAGCTGGAAGGTTTCTGACACTCTCTCAAATAGCAAACAGGCAAGTGGCATAGCCGTGAGCTGGGTGGTCTGACGTCCGTCACCACGCAAGTGAGTTTCAAGTGGGGAGCGCATCCATCAGCAGTCCTTTTCTTGATTTGAGCCTCTTAAAAATTTAGGGCTGGCGTCACGGACCGATTTAGAAACGGCACATCCTCAGCTGCCTCCTGGGAGATTGCTCCTCCCATCACCTTCGGTGACCCTCTCGAGACACCCATGCGTCTCGCTGGAATCCGCAGGGCGAAACCTCGAATGTCACGGTTAGGAACGGGCTTAGCATAATTTAGCATGATTTTAAAAGAAAATAGACCCCATCAGATGAACGTGATTTTATTCTTCAAGGTTGCAGCTTTTTCTGTTCAGGGTAACGAGATCTCTGTTCTAGACTTCTGTCAAGTGTTTAAACTGCGTGAGGTTTTGATTAAAGGAGTAGTTGCACAGGGACCTGGGCTGACAACGCCTGGCTCCTGATGGATGTGTATCTCTTGGTTCATTTATTTTTAATTTCCCATCCTTTTCTCCTTCTTTGGAGACTAGAGGAATCTGCCAAGTGGATAAGAAGTGCTTGTGCTGGTGGGGAGGGGGAAGTTTGCAGGCGCTGGCAGCCTGTTTTCACCTACCTCTGACCATTTGTTGCTAAACTCAGAGGAAGATGCCTGGCCCAGAACCTCCCCATGCTTCTGGGATGGGGCTGGGAGCTCAGGGGATGTTGGGATTGAGTGAACCAGACTCCAAGAAACCTGGAGACGGAAGAAAAATGCCGAAGAAAAATGGAGACGGAAGAAAAATGCGGAAGAAAAATGCTGGGGGGTTTCAGCAGCTCTCACTGTCTGTCTTACGGAAGGGAAGGACTGAGCAGTGGCTTGGTGATGGTGTGTTAGCACCTCACTGGGGAAAGGAGATGGCAGGGTATGAAGTGGGTGTGCGAGGGCTGGAGTGGCAGGCAGAGCCTCGTGGGGTGTACACCTCGGTGAGCTGAAGTTTACAGGGTTGAGAAAGGAACGAGTCCGAGCAGGCGATTTAATAGTCTTTTCTAGCCTTAAAATTCTGCAAACCTGCAAGTGTTTCGTGGACTCCCCCGCAAACCTCTGCCTGCCTGCAGCCGTGGGTGAGAGCAGAAAAACAGCCCTCAACCAGCTTCTGGAAAGCGCTTTCAGATCCCGTCGTAGAAGCCACGGCACGGTGACGCGGCGATGATGATTATCTGCTCATAACAGATGCTAGATCAATAGCGGGGCTTCAAGCCACGCTGCAAGGCAATTGACTGCAGAAGGTCTCTCTTTATTGGGGTAAAGCTGGGCTTGCAACAGGCTCTGGTTCGCTCTTACATCTCTGGTCTTAAAATGTCACCACCAGCTCTGATGCCTTTCATCCTTTGTGCGGGGCGAGAACGCACATTATTCGTAATTGGACTCTCTACCAGGCAGCAATAGCCGTTTTCATTTCCTACAATGCCTGAGAAAAGAGTGAGGATTTGCTTTTTTCTTTTTTTTTTTTGTTTTCTTTCCCCAAACAGCGTTTACTGGCAATTTTATTCCGAGTGACTTGGTAACACTTCCCACTCAGGCGGCGAGGGCTCTGCAGCGATGCCGTAACGCGTGTGGCGAGCGGCCGGCA